ATGTTGTATTAATGTTATAATGTATAATTTCTGTATAATTATACAAATACTCCCTCCTGTGCACACATTGTTTTAATATGCAATTTCTTTGGCTCGTCTCGGCCTTTTCTGGCCAACTATGAAAATTGGAGGCCTTGTTTAGATACAAGTTTCTTGTAAAGTAATATGCATGTTTTCCGTGGCACCCATTCAGTTCTAGCACACGGTCACTTGATGACCCATGCAGGACGTCACAAATGCCCCGAGAAGCTCAGCTCAGGCCAGATAGTAGATAATAAGAAACAAGAGCACGGACTGTAATCAGTATGGCAGGAAGCAGGTGTTTTATCATTGCATTCAAGCCCACATTGTAACGGAGGTGAAGTTCAGGGCAGTGAGTAGATGATGTGGATAGAGTCTGAGAGCCTTCGAGAGCGTGTTTGAACTAGAGACTCATGGGATAACAGGTGCTCCAGCTACCCCAACCTCTACACGCCTGCTTTACCCACTCATGCAGAAGGGTGTTTTCACTCAGAAGTAAACTCGCTTTAATAAAATTCTCAATAAGACTTTTTTTTTTCTTTATTTTGTGTTCTGTAGTTTAAAAAAGAGAAAATGAATGAACATAAACACATGAACACACTACATTAAGTAATGAAAATTAGTTATTTGCAAATGCAATTGTTATAGATCATCACATAATGAATATGTTCATTATATGAACATCAGGATTTTTTATCTACTGGCAGCATTGATTTATACCATTCATTATCAAATCTTTGTATTCATACAGTATACTTTATTTTTATATATACAGTATATGTGTGTGTGTGTGTGTGTGTGCGTACTGTATATATATATATACAGTGGGTACGGAAAGTATTCAGACCCCCTTAAATTTTTCACTCTTTGTTATCAACATAAATATTATACCCTATAATATTTAAAGATTGCATGAAGTTTATTAGAACTAATAATTGTTGTTAGATATAATAACATCAAATAATCTTTAAATGTTTACACAGGAATAAGTATATAAGTAATAAGTATAGTCTCCTATATATAAGTAGTCCTATGAAGGCTATTGTGTGTAAATTGTCAGAATGTTAAATAACCTCCCACCATGATGTTGTTACTTAAAGGGGCTCAGATTACTTATTGACAAACTTAAGCGAACCGCTGTCAAACCCCTGAAAGAACCTGTGAAAACACCCAGGGTTCTCTGCTGTCCATGGAGCGAGAGGTTTCACAGCGCCGCAGCCTCCTGTGTGACTGTGATCATTATATTGAGCGTTTAACTGCCTGGGCTGGAGTGTCAAATATACTTCCTCGTTTTTAAAGGCAGGTAAAGCACAGGAGGCGCTGTTATAATGAGGATTGTGTTTCCTTGGAAAATGAGTCAAATCTGCTGATCAGTTCCCTCGCTGTTGTCTGCGAGTAACCAAAGCTTTGACTGGTTAAATAGCTGGCGGATGATGCTTGGACTCTGACGTCATTCAGCTCTGAACCCGTGACTCACTGATGGATGTGTGCGAGCAGATGATGTTCTCAAATTGTGCTCATTAGCAATTATATGATAAACAACATCCTAATAGGCTAATTGTTGCCAGTCACCATGAGGTTTTTCTCTGTGTTTACCCAACAGCTACAGTAAACATGCTTGCTTTTACCTATGGGGTCTGGGGTTGATTTCCAAAAATGTTCTGTCCTGTAAAGGAATGTTTGTTAGGTCACTGCAATCATTTCATGCAAGGCTGCATTAGCATGAACTGTAATCAGCTCTGTTAGGGCTGGTCAATTATGGCCTTCTAGTAAAATAACCACTCTAAATAGGCTCTTAAAATTTCTGCAGACTTCTATAGTTCCCAAATCGTGTCTGCTTTCACACATCTCTCTCTCTCATTTGTAAATTTCAGATAAATGGATACATGTAAATAATTATTTCAGTAGTTTTAGTTATTCTACTTATAAAGCGGGGCATTGCACCAAAAATTTGAGAGCCACTGCCTTAATGTATTGCAAACAATCATACTTTGTTATTTTTTGCTTCTCTGCTGTTCCACGTTCTTTCGGTAACCCTGTTTTGCATGAAGTTCCCAGTTTGCTTGGCTTCATCCGTGTTTGAAGGACGTGCCTCGTTCTCAAACAGTCAGAATTTATATTACTGCAGGCAGGTTGACAGAAACCATCCTAACAAAAGCTTTTCTTTTTCCTGGAGAATGTGAAGGTCCTCACACTCAGGCTGCGGGCGTGAGGGAAAATCAAATAAATCCCACTGTCATGCTGGATGCTGGCAACTGGCATGTGTTTCATACCTGCCAAGCAGCTTGGCGTGTGCTGACAAGACCTATTAAAGTTTATAGACGTGCGGCAGGGCCGTCCATCACGATGACGGACAGGTCGGGCCCCTCCCCCTCGGCCGGTGCCAGGGCAGCAGAGGGTCGCGGTCGCAGCGGGATTGGAGAGCCGAGAGGGGCCGGGCTGAAGCGGGAGGATTCCTGAGGGACGAGTGTGTTGACCCTCAGTCAAACTGCACAGCAGGAAAGTGTGAATGAATGACCAGCTGGCCTCACACACGCAGACTTTTCACCCCTCCATATGGGACCGCTGACTTCAAGTCATGTCGGAATGGTCGTATTTACGAGATGAACGCGACTGCAACTCGTACCGGTGGGAAACTCTGGATTGCCTTTAAGGCCAGTCTTTCTGAGTTGGCAACATGTCAATTGAAGAATCATGGCGGAAGCAAATTAATATTAAGCAAAATTATATTTTCACTAGCTGGGCTTCCATCCACATAGTTTTAATACAAAGTTTGTGAAATAACGTATAAATGCTGGATGGGTAAGAAAATTATATATATATATAATTCTAATAATATGTCCATATAAAAGCTTCATATGTAAATATGAAAAGATAGATTTAATAAAATGTCCATATAAAAGCTTCATATGTAAATATGAAAAGATAGATTTAATAAAATGTCCATATAAAAGCTTCATATGTAAATATGAAAAGATAGATTTAATAAAATGTCCATATAAAAGCTTCATATGTAAATATGAAAAGATAGATTTATGCAAGATAGTCAGACAGACAGACTTGTTGGTGACTTGAAGACTTATTTACAGTAAGTGCTCCAACCCTGAGAACATTGCCAAGTTGTTTCCTCAAAGTAAATGTCAATGAGACGTGACCCACCTCAAGACTGCTCTCTCAGAACAAACACTGGATTCAGGATGTGCTGCAGTAGAGCTGTTGGGTGAACACTATCTTCTCAGTGTTTATGGTGTATCCGTTTGATCTCACCCAAAGTTCAGTGTGTGGGGTGCCAGTGACTGAATAAGGCTCTTTCTTTCCAGTGTGAGAGTTTTCTGTGGCAGCCCTGAATCTTGCACTTGCTCTTGTTTCACAAGCTATTTTATAATATTTTGTTAAGTGCATAATATTTTATAAAATATGCATTGTATGCTGTTAGTATTTTAATACTATTGATTGGTTTAGAAATGCTGCGGGGTCTGATATGTCCGTTTGTCATGCCACCGCAAGATTAAAGTCTCCGTCTCCTCAGACAGCCTTTCCCAATGCCTCCAGTCCTCCTGGCCTCATCCTATTTGTTTTAATTAAACCAAAGCTTCCAGCTTGGCCAGGAGTAGAGAATGATCTCTCTTTCTCTCTCTACACTTGCTAATATTTCGAAATCACTCCACCCAGTTTTCATGCCTGTTTTTCTCTGTTCTTGTTCATGCAAACGGTTTATGAAGGATGAATGACAGGATGCATGCCCTTTTCCCCATCTTTAATGTTTGCATATGAAACGCTCGGCCGTAGATTTTCAGTTTTTTGCGTGGGGGGGGGGGGAACGC